TAGATGCACTTTACTTAGATGTATCTAAAAAGTAAAAAAATTGTAAAAAAATATTTTAAAAAATTAATAAATACATAAAAATACAAAAAATATATTGAATTCTCGTTTTTTTTTTAATTTTATATTTTTGGTATTTAGACTTGGTTTGACATTCATTTTGGGACTAAATAACTACAAAAAGACAAAATTGACTATAAAAGCTAATAAGACAAAATACTACTTTTTACCCATAATCATTATACTTTTTCTCTCACAAAAGTAAAAAATGCCCCAAAACAAAAACCAAACAAGGCTAAAAAAGCCCAAACACAAAAAAGTTTGCTATATTAGTCAATGTCAAACGACCGCTTAGCGAATTTTTGCAAGATTTTTTTCACAAAAATTATATATTTTTTTTGTGTATTTATGTTAGGTGTGTCTAAAAATTAAAAAAAAAAATGTTTAAAATATTAAAAAAATTAGTAAAAAACAAAAAAACATAAAAAACAAAAAAGTAAAATTTTCTGAAAAGTATTTTTGGAAAACCAAAAACAAGCAAAAGTGCTTCATATAGCTTTTGTTTTTGTGTGATAACAGTTTAAAAAATTAAAAAAAACTTTTTCACATTTTCAAAACAATTTTCATAAATCATTCAACAAAAAATACTGAGAAAAAAATAAAAAATAAAAATGATACCAAACCGGCCAATGCTGGTGAAAATAAAGCATGCACCTAAATGATATATTGCCTCAAAAGTTAAAAAAATGGAAACAAATAAAAAAGTTAGATGGGTCAAGGAAAGATGATTGATTCAAATAAAAAAGGATTTTTTATTTTTTATTTTTTATTTTTAAATTAATGTAAGGATATATAAAAGGGGGATTTTTTTTAAGGTCCCTGATATTAAAATTTTATAGCATAAAGGATATCAAATATTTTCAGTCTCAGAGAAATTCTCTCCAGAGAAAATTGAAATTCTCTCCAGAGAAATTCTTTGGGTTCAAACCAGAGAAAATTGAAATTTCTTTGAGTACCAAAGAAATCCAGAGAAAATTGTGGAGAGAAAATTTGTGTGGCTATCCAAGAAATTTGTAATGCCCTGAAATTTTCCCACAAGAATATGCCCAAACAAATACAATAATATATCCAAAAAGTCCACATTCTCATTAAACTAAGAGATAAGAGGTTACACTTCACCATATACATTCCCATAATGTTTAGAATTCGTATTCCAGTTCAATGAACTAGGTAGCCTTACAAAATATAAGCCTCTAGGGTGTACAATTACAACAAAATAAATTAATAGTCTTATTACAAAAATTTCAATTCAAAATAACAAAATACTCATGGATCAACTTTTCCAAAAGGGAGCTATTGCTTGGTCAACCCTTCAGGGAGATGGAACTCCATCATTTCTTGAAAAAGATAAGATAGGGTTGAGCTATATGCCCAGTAGGAAAACATTTAACCAAGTATTTAATCCTTTGAATAAGATTATAGTATCTTTGCGACCAAACATTACATGAAAATTTATCTTTACATGTAATCCTTAACAAACATACAGATCCATGACAACCAAATAATTACAGTGACTATTCATGTCATCAAGCATAACAATCAAACATTCACAACCATAGAATGCAAACCATGAGTCCACCTGTAAGAGTCCAATTAAAAACACCCTTTACTTTTATTTTTAAAACCACCACTACATTTGTCGGCTATTATACGGCAGGGAGTGGACACTCCAAAGAAAACCATCCATTTTTTCACTTTTGCCGGTTATCATACGGCAAGACTGTGGACACCCAAAAATATTTTTCCCACATTCGTCTAGCTATAAGCCTAGACAGGGCATTTGGGCACCTTTTTAAACTCCCCGCGCGGGTACCAACACAGCGCCACACTTGGAAAACCGACTCTTACCCGGACTCATGCACGATTAACAATTCATTCATATTTTATTCCATCAACAACCATCCAACATTACTCAAGAGTTGAATACAACACAAGATTTAAGGAAAACAAATAACATCCAAGCCACTATTCTTTTATTATTTCAACATCCACATCCTTCATATATTTATTTTTCACAATATTTCATGAATCAAGGAAATTCCCCATTCAATGTGGTGTTCTTAACTCAAATAGAGAATCTAGGGTTTTTACCAAATTTGGGGGTTTTTCTCCTTTATTATATATATGGCTTGTAATAACATTTATATACGTGTTTTGAAAAGAGGGAGTAAAGAAATATCAAGCAAGAGTCAAGTAAAATGGTTTATTTATGTAAAACATGAGATTGATCCAACAATACTCTCCAATTAACTCATAAATCACAATCATACCATGAAATCCCTTCAAAACAAAGAAATACTAAGGTAAAAGTGTCCCTACCTCAAGTTGTGAGGAAGAAAACCCAAAATACTCAAGGTTGACGAAGCCACAAACTTCTCGGACCAATAGAAAGCCCTTGAGAAGATCTTCAAGTTATCTCAAAGGATCAAGGTGAGAAGACACCTCTAAGAGTGTAGATCTAAGGATTGAAGTGGAAAAAGTGGGTTTTTGAGAGAAAGAGAGAGAGACTCTTGGTTTTGAGAGCAAAAAGATGAGAAAAATTATGAGAGATGTGGGGTTTGGGTCTATTTATAGTATTAGATAATAGCCCTAAGGTCAATGACAAAGATAAGTCTAAAAATCCCCAAAAATAGGGCCCATTCGAAGCCCAAAATTTTGAAAAGAACTCCCAGGGGTTGACCCTTCGGGCAAGGGGGTCGACCCTTTAGGTAGAAAGACAATCTGGCAACAAGCAAGGGAGTTGACCCTTAGACAGGAGGGGGTCGACTCTATTTTCCAGCAACTAACAGAGAAATTTTGCAACATAAGAGGGTTGACCATCCCCAGACTGGTGTCTACCCTATTTTCCAGCAACACCTCTAGAAACTTCACTAACAGGTAAGAGTCGACCCTTAGGAAGGCTGGTGTCGACCCCAAGGGAAAATTTCTAAGTTTCCAAGGAACTTTTGACAAGAACAAACACGAACGAACAAACCCAACGAGTTTAAATCGGATTGTACTCCTTCAAAACCAATAGACAACAACTCCAAAGACTCCCAAGATAAAAATAAGGATATTAAACACACATTCCAAAATATTAAAACACCTAAGTGTTACAAAATTTCTTTGGCTTTACAAATTTCTTTGGCTCTATTCACAAAGAATTTCTCCGACTTTGTGTAATATGTAAGCTAACAATACAATCTTTACTAACAAATCCACAAATTTCTCCGGTCCAAAACCAAAGAAATTCTCTCCAAACCAGACAGATCAGAGAAATTCTCAGGATTGAAACTAGAGAAATTCTCTCTATTTGTAGCAGAGTTGTAATTTTATGAACAGACCTTGGTGATTGTACATTGATCTAGGAAATTTCTCTAACTTCACAAATTTCTCTAACTCTATTCACAAAAGATTTCTCTGACTTTGTGTAATATGTAAGCCAACAATATAATCTTTACTAACAAACTCACAAATTTCTCTAGTCCAAAACCAAAGAAATTCTCTCCAAACCAGACAGATCAGAGAAATTCTCAGGATTGAAACTAGAGAAATTCTCTCTATTTGTAGCAGAGTTGTAATTTTATGAACAGACCTTGGTGATTGTACATTGATCTAGGAAATTTCTCTAACTTCACAAATTTCTCTAACTCTATTCACAAAAGATTTCTCTGACTTTGTGTAATATGTAAGCCAACAATATAATCTTTACTAACAAACTCACAAATTTCTTTTTCTCTGCAACTGAAATCAATGGAGTTTGTTTGGGCGTAATTATTAATATTATTATTTTTTTTCTAGTTTCCGTTTTTCTTGAGAGTCGTGACACAAGATTCTCACCACCGACCAACCCACACACTCTCTCTCTCTAGCTTTTCGCTCTAGTGAAGGGATCATCAAACTTAAACTCTCTTGAAAGAGATAGTGTTACGAGTACCGGAATTTTCAATTCCAAATGCAGCAGTAGAGGATACCAGTTGAAAAATCGAGAGATTGGTTCGGTGGAGATGAAGAGAAGAGCAGATAGAGAGAGAGAGAGAGAGAGAGAGAGATTTCTTAATATCAATTTTTTTTGTGATTGATGGGTGTGGGTTGAGGGACCTTAGACATCAAAAAATAATATTGTGGATCTCTTCCATTATTAAAAATGAGAGAAGGGTCTTAGACTAATTTTCCCTATATAAAATGTTTAAAATATTTGTTTCTATTAAATTTAATGACAAAAATATATTTTTATAAAAATAAATTAAAAGATTAAGGTTTAAATTGATAAAATAAAAGTTCAGTATTTATTTTGTTATAAGAGTCAAACTCTGAGATTTTTTGTTTTTGTATTTATTCCTCATTATTTTCAAGAAAAAATATATATATAAAAAAATAGGATTTGAGTTTCGTAATAAAATAAATTTTGAAGTTTAAATTTTACTAATTTAAATCCTAATCTTTTGATTTGTTTCAATGTAAATCACTTGCCTATTTTTGTTAAATAAAACTATTGTAAAAAAGTATAATTTAGTCAATAAATTCAATGAAAAAGGGTTTTTTTAGATTGAAAATAAGCAAATGGTTAAGATTAGAAAATAAATAAAAAAAATTAATATTTAAATTGATAAAATTAAAAATTATTTTATTACAAGATTGAAAGTTTGTTCATTTGTTTGTTTATTTATTTATTTTTTTGATTTGTAATTTCCCTTTATTTTTAACTTGTGGAACTTACAAAAAAAAAAAAAAAAAAAAAAAAAAAAAAAAAAAAAAAAAACCTATTTTTATAGACACTCCAAACATAATCTTGAATTTTTGTTTTTATTTATCAACAACGCTTGTTAACCTGAATTTGTGAGACTTGAATGATCCAAATATTTTAAAACGGCGTCATTTTAAATATAAAACGTATCATTTCAACATATTTACACAAATTCAACCCCAAACATCTTTTTATAATTATTTTGTTGCAAGTATTTTTGTCTACCAAACCGCTATAATAGCCTTTTGTCATTTTTACTCGCCCCTTCCGGAGGTTGTCCGTTCTCAAATTTCAATTCGGAGAGACATTCTCTCTCATTCACCCTCTCTCTCTCCCTCCATTTCTAGGGTTTCTCTCTCTCTCTCTCTCTACCAGGTATGCTTCATTCTCTCTCTTTCTCTCCTCTTGTAATCTCTTGTTGATTTTGCTTTAATTGGTGAAATCTATGCACTTTTTTATTCTATTCTGATTCAATTTTTGATAAAATGTTTTAGGTATCAGCGAAACGGTTCAAATTTAGGTTTTTTCTTTGTTGATTCGCGTAATTTCTTTGATAATCAGAGGTTTAGTTAGAAAATAAAAATAAAAATGAGTGTAGTGGGGTTTGATATTGGGAACGAAAATTGTGTCATTGCGGTGGTAAAGCAACGAGGGATTGATGTTGTGTTGAATGATGAATCGAAGCGTGAAACTCCGTCTGTTGTGTCGTTTGGTGAGAAGCAGAGGTTCCTGGGCGCGGCCGGGGCAGCTTCTGCGACCATGAACCCAAAATCGACAATCTCTCAGGTGAAGAGATTGCTTGGTAGGAAATTTAGGGAACCTTGTGTTCAGGATGACCTTAGGTTGTTTCCCTTTAAGACATCTGAGGCTCCAGATGGTGGAATTTTGATTTATTTGCAGTATTTGGGTCAAACAGACACTTTTACCCCAATTCAGATTTTGGCAATGTTGTTGGCGCATTTAAAGCAGATCACTGAGAAGGATATCGAGGTACCCGTTTCGGATTGTGTGATAGGGATACCGTCTTACTTCACAGATTTGCAAAGGCATGCATATTTGCACGCTGCAGGGATTGCAGGACTGAAGCCATTGAGATTGATGCATGACTGTACTGCTACTGCATTGGGTTATGGTATTTACAAGACTGATTTCCCCAATTCAGGGCCGTGTCATGTTGTGTTTGTCGACATTGGTCATTGTGATACCCAAGTCGCTGTTGCATTGTTTGAACCCGGAAGTATGAAGATACTGTCCCATGCTTTTGATTGTAACTTGGGTGGGAGAGACTTCGATGAGGTTTTGTTCAGATATTTTGCAGCACAGTTCAAGGAACAGTACAATATCGATGTTTATTCTAACACCAGGGCTTCTGTAAGGCTCAGGGCAGCATGTGAGAAATTGAAGAAAGTCTTGAGCGCAAATCCAGAGGCGCCGCTTAACATTGAGTGCTTGATGGATGAGAAAGATGTTAAAGGTTATATTAAGAGGGAGGATTTTGAGAAACTATCATCAGATTTGTTGGAGAGGTTAAGCATTCCTTGTCGTAAGGCTTTGGCCGACTCTGGTCTGACCATGGAGAAGATTCATACTGTTGAGCTAATTGGGTCTGGGTCTCGAATACCTGCTATTACACGGATTTTGGCATCTGTTTTCGGGAAAGAACCTAGACGGACATTAAATGCAAGCGAGTGTGTGGCTCGTGGTTGTGCTCTTCAATGCGCAATGCTTAGCCCAATATTTCGCGTTAGAGAGTATGAGGTTTGTGTCTTTGTACAACTGTTGACTCTTTGGCATTTTCTATTGACAACTGCACATGGTTTTTTGCTGTTATTAGTTTCTATAAGGAATGATGAGTTAAGTGCTGATTCTATATTCCAAAGTATAGTTGCTTTATGTTTCTTCTCTGTGTTCTTTATGCTTCCATTTTAGAAATGGTTCTTGGGGGCACGTTCTTCTTCATACATAATCTAATGTTAATTGGTCATGCCTAATAGATAGAAATTTTGATTTTAGTTTGTCTTCCTTGACTGATTTCTTCCAAATTATTAATTTTGTGGGTCATTGTCAAACATCCCATATCATTAAGTAGCCATTATTAGTGGCTGTTACAATGTCATCCTTGCGTTTGTTTCATGTATTTAAGTTTCTTATTGTATATCTATTATTTTATGGTAGATAATTTTTTGGTATCCATTATTGAATGCATCTCTGAGTTTGATTGATGGGCATGTGCTTCCTAATTAGTGTTTCAATGCAAGCAAGTGAACTAGGTGTATGAGAGGGTTCAAGAATGTGGTCTAAAAATTCGAAGATCTTTGAAGAAAACTCGAATTCTCTAGAAATAATGAGAGGCTTAGATTCTTCAACAGTCGCAACTAGAAACACAATAGCAAAGAGATGATGGAGATAAGAGATTGGGTGAAAGCAAAGTAGTTAGAGAGAGAATAATGCAAGGCTCTCCTATGGATCTCTCACTTTCACTCTTAAGGTAGATAACGAAGAAGAGAAATTAGTTCTTTCCTAAAAAATGTCTCTCCAAAATTCAACCCTTGTAAAGCTATGGGTGGGTGTTATTTATAGGCATCTCATGATGTAGGATGAAGCCCATGTGCAAGGCACATGGGGAGTATTCTCTCTAACTACCTTGTTAAAGGAGGTGGCCTCTCTGAGGATGAGAAAAATCCCGAAGAGGAGAACAACCTCTTGGCGAACCCTTCTTCTTAGTTGTACGTAGCTAATGATCCCTAATCATCCCCAAGGGTCAGGAGTAGTCCCAAAGGACGCTTTGCCGCAGAAGGGTCAGGGGTAGTTCAAGAGAACGCCCTGCTATAAATATTGCCGAATCTCAAGGACTCCCTAGATTGTGCCACCTCGACCCGGGAATAGGCTAATTTAACCAAAGAGTGAATTTATCTCTACTCACTGTCCTCGGGATCGGGTCCTTTGTTCGGACTCCGTTACATCCATGGTTCTGGTGCATAGATCCCGGAAAGCTCCGAGTCGCAAGTGTTCTGGGACTCATTAACGGAGCGACTTCTAGATTGCGTTTGAATTCTTTCAAAGTCAAGTGCTTTGGATCTCTAGGTTCGTGGATTTGAACCCCTTTGAGTCTGAGCTCAAATAGGTTTCTAGGTTTGTGGTTCCAAACCCTTTCAACACTAAGTCAATACCTCGGAGAATAGATCTCCTCCGAGGGTTTCATCTTTTTTGAAAGCAATGGTTAACCTCTTCGAACGCTCGTATGATCTGGGTCTCCTCGGATGGGCTTGTTGGACTCACTTTAGAGATATCTGCTTGATGGGTCTTCCTCGTCCTAATTTGTTGGCTTTCTTATGGGCCTGTTTAATAGAATTCACTTGAGTCCATTTGGCAATAATCTCTCCAAGCTCACCAATTTTTTGGGCTTTTTGATTGGGTTTCGATTGGGCCCAATTAATTTAATGGGTTCAAGTTAATCCCTCTTACATTTTGCTCCTTGCATGTATGGGAAATTTTGAATTTCTCAGACATGCATATTCTCACTTCTTCGACCATGCTTCGCTTTATTCTCTCGGGCATGTCTGGTCTCATTCCTTCGGACATATTTTGTCTCCATGTGACTTGGTTGGTTGCACTTTCGGGGGCCTCACTGAAAATGCTCGGAAAAATTTGGAGCAAAAATTCAATTTTCAGAAAAATCTGGGCCCTCCTACAATTTCCAGAAACATCAGAGAATATTCCATTGCTCCTGGGACTATTCTATTCGCTAACATCACTATTGCATCATGCTGCCATCATCATTGCGTTAGCCTCCACCAAAAAAAAAAAAAATTGCTCAAGGGTTTTGAAGAACCTTATCCACTATGCCAAAATCACGCCTTGTGCTACATTTCTCTCAAATAAATATTTAAACACTTTGACTTTAGTGAATGTGTAGGTGCTATGCCGTAGATGCATTAAATGATTCCTTGTGTGGGAAATGTTTTCGTTCTCAGCTACTTCTTTCTTCAAAATAAACAAAAATATCTTTTGCTTTGCTTTCTTTTTATTCTATAAAAGCCAACCTCAATGACCCACTTATATATATACACATTTCTTTTAGAATATCTGAGGCCCACCAAGCAAACACAAAGATCTCATCCTTATCCTTTTTTAGTTTTTTATTTTTATAAATATCCACCTCCAAGGATTCACTTTTCATTTTCTCTTTCTAGAACATTTAGAAAACCCATCCTTTTGTTCCAAGACAAAGAAGACCGAGAAACCCATTTTTTTTTAATATATAAACACCAAACTAGGGCTTTGCTTCTGAACTGACATCGCAGGACTCATGCCCTCAGTCCACCGCGCCGCCGACCCACACTTCACTCCGACGTCATTAGCTTCCGATCTCGCTAGAACAGCGCCACTGTCGGCCTATCCCAGCTCACTAATTAGTGTTGTCTTGCCATTGTGTTGTTTCAACGCGCGCTTCTCGTGCCGCCTTCAGGCCGTGGCCTTGCTTGCACTGTTGTCCTAACTTATGGATTTTGCTATTTGCTGCTTCTTGCTCCTTTTAGCTTCACGCCTTATCCATTGTTTGTTACGTCAGATCTGTCGATAAGCTCTTGTGAAACCTCCATATGTGACTATTTCTAATGAATTTTGGCCTTTTTAATTTTTTTTTTTTTTTTTTTTTTTTTTTGATCAGAAAAATATGTTCATTTCTTGCTCCTTTTAGCTTCACGCCTTATCCATTGTTTGTTACATCAGATCTGTTGATAAGCTCTTGTGAAACCTCCATTTGTGACTATTTCTAATGAATTTTGGCCTTTTTAATTTTATTTTATTTTTAAAGCTTTGACTCCGCTGGTGCTTGCTTTAATGTCCATTCGTGTTGATTTAGCCCATCTCCAAGACAGCTTCAACTTTTCCACTTCTTTAGATCCGTAGGTGAGTGTTTGCCCAAAACCATTTTTGGCCTTCTTATTTGAATCTGAAATTAGTTCTTGATGGATCTTGTTTTCATGAAATCCATGCTACAAACTTGTTGATTGTTAATTGACTTGAGATAGATATAATTTCTTTATTGTACAACCCATAAATCTTTGCTGTTGATCACTTTTGTGAAACCAATTTGAATTGCTGATCTCATATAAGCTGAGTCACTGATGCTTGAATGTTGTTTGAACATTATAACCTTGAGGACACTTGTACTTGATTTTTTAGAGAAGATGTGATACTCGTTGAATTTTTCTAATTCCATTGAAGAAACCTAGGTTTTTTTGATCTTGGGACGCTCGGGATATAAATAGTTGATGCCAAAATTTTGTGTGATCATTGTAGCTTTACGTTGGCATGAGAGGAATCGGCCTGGAGAGACCAAACCTCGATTTTTGCATTTTCATAAACTTGCTGAGAGGAGTAGAATTGTTGTAGCTTAAGTAGATCATTATTATTTGTTGATGTTGCCCCATTTCGATAATGCCTGAATCATGATTTGAAATTGATATTGCTCATCTCATTTGTCGGCTTTACTATTTCAGGCAAATGAATTCTTGCGCGAAACCCAAGACCCTGGGGCCCTCAGAACCCACACTAATGAGAGCAAGGGATGTCCCTCGAGAGTCTGAACGGAAGCAAGGCTATCCCTTAGGAGTTCGAAAATAGCACACACCCTACTTCGGCAAGAAAGATCCCTTCTGGCAGGCAATCGAGCCTCAAGGGCTGTTCTTCGAAAGTCTGAGTGGGAGAACACACTTTACTTCAGTAAGAAAGATCCTCGAAACTCGCACTGATGGGAGCGAGGTCTATTCTCCGAACGTCTGAGTGAGAGCACACACTCTACTTCAACAAGAAAGATCCTCGAAGCTCGCATTGATGGAAACAAGGGTTGTCCCTTGGTAGTCCAAATGGAAGCAAGGGCTGTCCCTTGGAAGTTCAGGTGGAAGCACACTCCTTTCTTTGGCAAGAAAGATCTTTTCTGGTTGGCAACCGAGTCTACTACTCCTTCTTCGAGGAGCGACAAAAATTGAAAACTGTCTCAAGCAACATAACACAATGAAGATACACAATATAGAGAAAATAAACTTCTAATGGAGATACACAATATGGAGGAAATAAATTTCTTCATAACATAAGAAAGATAAAACTTCTTGGACAATGCCGTAAATACAAATTGTAAATGTTATAGATAGCCTTCTTCTACGGAATGTCGACCTTTGCCCCTAGAGTTGGGAGGTCATTTGAAACTGCTCGAGTTGTGGCCGTCATATGCCATCATAGCCCGACTTCTAAGATATTATGGGGCCCTTGTTCTTTGAACTCTAGCTCATCTGCTTCGACTTTTTTTCTAAAGATCTTAAAAACACAATAATTAAGGCTCTCGCGGTCTTTCTTTAGCAAAAGCTCTTCGATACGAAGCAACTTCAATTCCCTATCTGCCACCCATTCTTTAACTAAGGCCTTCACCTCCTCAGCACTACATGGAAAAGGAGTGTCATCTTCGTAGTTTTTCCTTTTTAACCCTCTGAATCCCTTTCCTTGCGACTTTTGGGTAGAACACCCGGAAACCGCAGTGATAGAAGGTCCTTGGGATGACTTGAAATTGGTTTTATAACTTGTTTCGAACCTGATTTCTTGACACTTAGGTATGTTGATGTTCCTTGATGCTTCAATTAGTGTTGAGAATGTGGGTAGCTTGTGATTAATAAGAAACATCTTGCACCTGTTCAATGTCCCTTTAACACAGATTTGGACCAAGTAGCTTTCCTCTACAGCCTCGTGACAGTCCACGGCTT